AGTCACTTGTTTGGCAAATGATGCTAGAACCATGTTTTAGTAGACAAATCCGACTCTATTGTTGGTGTGCTCAACATTACGCCCGTCGTCTTTACTTTCCATGACATTTCCTGCTGCCCGCTGTAGACAGGGCCGTCTAAACGTATGGGCTCGCAGGTCACTTCCCCGGGGATTCACCGACATATGGGCCCCATACTTCTGCTTCTTCTTCTTCTTCGCGTTCACCAGCTGTACTCTCTGGCGGAAAGTTCTGGTTGCTCGTCCACTACTGAACTGCAGTCCTGCTCCAGAACCTGAGTGTTGCGTGTGCATCAGTTTTACGTATCTCATTCTCTTGAATACAGACTGTTGGTGCCTTGCCTCTCCGGCTGATGCACTCCGACTTCAAAGGAAGCTCCCCAATTAGTCGACTCTTACGACATGCTTCTGGGGAGGCAGTGGGTCTATTCTTGTTTTCCCACAATGGGGCCCCGGAACCCACATGGGGGGGGGGGGTGCCCATACTGATCTGGGTACTCATCGGCATATGTACCATATACTGATCTGTGTATGTGTTTAAATTTTCTGCCAAAAAATTGCATTCATGTGAGTGGTTATCTAGAGGCCCCAGCACACCGGTTTGCTCAGGGATGCGCAATGCTAATAAGACGGCTCTGGTTGTAGGAGCTGCAAATCTCAAGCAACGGCCTCCCAGTCGCCCTTACTTTCTTGTTCAGAATATGTTTGTTGGTGTTCCTTGATGATGGAACTCTGCATCTGGCGTGTTCCCCCCCCCCCCCCAATATTTTTAAACAAGTTTAAAAAGAAAAGGCAAAGGACCCATTCTACGACTTCAGGCGCATCGGTCATACAAGACTAGACCTATTTTTTATAGACCAATCGGCACTTGGTGGGTAATATGTCAGCATTACGCCGGCCGCCTTTACTTCCCGACACTCCATCTGGTACCAATTCAAGGCTGGGTGGACCTGGGAGCTAAGGTCGTATTTTAAGTGGGAAAAAAAATCAGGTGGTGTCATGACTCAAACCCACGACTGTCCGATCCGCAGGCGAGCGTCTATCAGCTACACCACGGCGATACTGTATATTGATTATGCTTAAAAATCCTGTTAAATCATTTCATGTCTGTTAGTTGCTATAGAAATTCCATATCGTTGCTGTCAAAAATCTGTTTGTGGGACAACGAAACCCGATAAAACAGTGGTTCTCAAGATCCCTAATATGGTGACCCTTTCTTACAGTTATACATGTTATGGCGACCTCTCAACCATACATTTATTTTCGTTGCTGCTTCATAACCTTAGTAAATGAGTGTTTTGTGATGGTCTTTAGAGACCCCTGTGAAAGGGTCGTTCGACCCCCAAAAAAAGGGTCACGACTATAGGTTGAGACCAGCTGCTATATATAGAAAGTTGTGAGTTTATCTACATCGCTTACAGAACTGAATTGTATGTGACACGTTTTGTTTTTAACCTTTACCCTTTGCGCACGCTATGAAAGATCACGCGAGGGCACGCTGATTTCGCTGCTTAGATGCCAGAAATAAACATAAATCTGAGGTTAGAAACAATAAAACACACAGAAAGAATGTCGGAAAGTAAGACAACCGAGAACTGGTAAACTCGTCGCAGACTTGACGTAGAAACGCCGATTTCGCGCCGTGTGTCGTCTACGGCTGTAGAGTGAAGAAATCGTGGGGCGGGATCTCAACCCTTTATGATTTAATAGGGGTGGAGGAGTAGACTCAAGGTTGCGTATCCTTTAAAGGACGTTGTAGAACCAACCCCAACAGCCCTTGACTGTTGTGTGGTTTTTCTAGGCAAATTTACGTCCAGTAGTTTGCTATTGCTCCTGGACGGTCGGCTTTCTTGATACCACTGTCGAAACCAACGCAAGGAGCATGGCCCGCAGCTGGGATCGAACCTGGCATCCCGGCATTACGAAGCGTTCGCATCGACTTAGCCACAGAGCCGACAGACTCAATGGCTTCAGCTTTATATAAGTGTGTAATAATAATAATACAATTATTTTACGAGTGGATCAAAATAAGATGAGATATAATAATTATAATTATTATTTTGATTATGTATTGAATGACAAATTAATGTCAAAATATACTTGAAATAATAGGAAACGTACAATCAAACGCTTTAAAAGGTCTAAAACACTGAAACTGAGGAATGCAACATAGAATTGATTGTGCTGCTCGCTAGTGCAGTTGGTTAAACCTGACTGCGCGGCGACCGGGTGACGAACTCCTTTTGGTCCGGATTCACGCACGGGGGTAGGTAGAAAATCTATATTTCTAACAGATTAACTGTATCTATCATGGAATCATGGCCGAAGGGTTGCGATATCCGTAGTACCGAGACAATTGGTTAACAACTCATGGTTTCTAGGTACTTAAAAAAAAAGAATTGATCAGTTTACTGTTTCTGTTTAAACAATGCATAAACGTCATGGCACACGGATGCTTATCCATAAGATTCTACTTGTAACTCAAGCCTGAGTCTAAAGAATTTCAGAGCATTGCACGAACTCCACAGCACCGGGGAGGATCCTGAAATACTTTGGGTAGATTTTAAACTCCAAATTGTGCCCGCTGAGCGCCGTTAGGCTATTCTTTTCGATTTGCGACTGCCAAAAGATTTTTTTACGTGCATAACAATACACACGGGCGTCTGATCTTACACAGAGAGCAGAGAAAATTACTAAAAGTCCACGTGGAAAAAAAAAACAGCCGTTACCGACGCCAATGATTATTGTATGTTTGTTTGTGTTAGTACCCAGAAGCCATGAGTTGTTAACCCTTAGGCTCGGTATTATGGATATCGCAACCTTTCGGCCTTGATTCCATTGTAAATACCGTAAATCTGGGAGAAATGTGGCTTTTCTGTCTACCCCCGGGAGTGAACCCGGACCACAAGGAGCTCGTCACCCGGTCTCCGCGCAATTCGGTTTAGCCAACTGCGCTAGAGAGCCGGGCAATAATTATTGTAAGGCAGGGTTATTCGACTCAGAGGGGCCAAACTGTCTGAAATTTGGATCTTCATGGACTAGAGGCCTGAGCTTCCAGCATAGAAAGAAAATGAAACAAATGCAAATGGCATCCACGGGCCACTTGCTAGGCTAGACCTCCTCCGGCTGTATATATAAATCTGGAGCTGGCCGTGGCTGGACGGTATGGGACGGTTTACATGAGATAGCAACAGCTGGCACGACCTGGCGTAAGCTGGTTGAGAGACAATGCTCAACTGATCAGGGTGGAGGGGGGGGGGAGGCGGGTATGGGACAGGGATAAAGCACAGAAGGACAAGATACAGCTGGTAAAAAAAATTTGTGTGTTTTTTTTTTTTTTCTTATATTTATTTTTCAGGTTTGCACTAGTTTGATACGTTCTAGCATTGGCATTAACTTAAACAATATTCACGCATGTCTACGGCTGCCTACACTAGGGATACTTGTCATCTAACATGTATTACTTAGTACGTAAGGAAGGATCCATCTCGAGCATGGCACTCTGTGCATGTGGTTCTATATATATATATATATATATATATATATATATATATATATATATATATATATATATAGTTAGTTGCGTATCCTTTACAGGAGGTTGCAGAACCAACCTTAACAGCCCCTGGCTGTTGCGTGCTTTTTCTAGGCAATTTACATCCAGTAGTTTGCCATTGCTTCCTGGACGGTCGGCTTTTTTGATACCACTGTCGAAACCAACGCTATATATATATATATATATATATATATATATATATATATATATATATATATATATATATATATACACCATTTAACACTTGACAGATAATGTGATAAACATACGGCTCTTTTATCGTTAGGTAGATCGTAGAGCTATATCAAGAGACAAGAGATCAAATGTTTCGGTCATGTGTCAAGACTACTGCCAAATAGTGCACCACCGAGGACCGAGAGTCCTGTCACAGCGGAAGCAGAATTAGAGATCCCCAACGGACCAGATGTACTGATGGAGGATCATGGTTTGTAAACACAAGCGGCATCTTAGCACATACCATGGCTCGCACACGACCAGCTGCAGCTGACGCGCCGTGCTGCTGACGTCACCGTGTCGGGCTGAAAATGCGTTAAAACAGCGGTTCTCACACTGGGTGCTGAGGCACCCTGGGGTGCCGCAGCAATAGTCAAGAAAAGTCGTCTAAATGGTGGGAAATTATTAAAAAAGTAAAGTAGATATTTAAAAGTTGAAATTTCAGTTGTCTTCCCTGGCCACTGTCGACAATAGTTTATTTCTTGTTTGAGAACCGCTGCGTTAACGCATCGTAAGCCCGACCCAGTGACGTCAGCAGTACGGCTCGTCAGCTGGAGCCGGTCGTGGCTCGCACCTGATGCCACTTCATAACCTAACGCTGATAGGCAATGCAAGGAGCCGGAGAAAAAAAAGAAAGTAGAAGACCTTGGAGCCTGGATTATTTCGTAAAAATCCGTTTCGATGAGGATTTGAACTTACGAACACTGACCGAACAGGCAAATCACGCTAGTCACCTCGGTATAGATCCACCAACTGAGCAGTTTGTCCCCTCCGAGCCGCTACCTACAGGTTTACCATACCATCCTGAAATTAAAAACTTCTCAGTCTGGACGGCAGACCAATAAGACAGCCTTCACAGAAGTTATTATTATGGCATCCGTCACCAGTAACGGTTATAATTATGGCACCCGTCACCCGTAACGGTTTTAATTAGGGTACCCGTCACCCGTAACGGTTATAATTATGTCACCCATTAACCTCAACGGTTATAATTATGTCACACGTCAACCTTAACGGTTATAGTTATGGCACCGGTAACGCTGCATTATTCTGTACTCCTATGTGGGCAGTTAAAATGTTATCAATCTAAGGTCTTTACCACATCTGCCAGTGATGTTTCATTTGCCTGTTAAACTAACCTAACGTATCTGTCGCTAACATTTCATTCACAGAAAAAGCTAGTTTACTCGGGATGGCCAAGAAACAGCAAAAGAAGGAGCAGGCGATCTCAACGTCCTTCAAAATTTTCCTCACAGCCTGGGCGTTTGTTGAGAATGGAATCTTCTCGGGGCTACGGGCCGGCTGGTCAGCGTTGGTGTATATTCTCAAGCAGGAACGTGTCTACGCTGATCTGTGCTTCACCAACATAACCGGGAATTCCTGTAAGTTTTGAGGTTCATTTTTACATCATCATGTAGCAGGTCCTTTGCAGAACGTCGCTCTCATCACGGTCTGCCTGAAAGAAAATCGGTCTCTCGCTAGCTCTCCCGCCTCATGTACTTTCACACTCAAGGAGTCTCTTATATTATGTACCCATCTTCCTGTTGGTCGGCCCCTGCCCCCTCCTTCCTGATACCATGCCGTCTGCTATAATTTTTTTCTAATCCGTCGTGGCGCTTGATGTGACCAAAATATGTCAGCTTCTGAGACAGGATGCTGTTAATTAGCCAGTCTTCCTTGATGTTCAGATCTTTCAAGATGTCAGTATTTCTCCTCTTCTTTGCATAAGATATTCTGAGAATCTTTCTACAGCATTTCAGCTCAAAAGCCCTTATTCTCTTTCTTAAGGACTGGGACTGACTGACTGACTTTCTACCCTATAGGACATCACACAAGCGATAAACACCCGATGACACAAAGTACCACCATGTGGACGAGGATCGCCGTGTATAGGTCCCTGAAAGCGCTTTCAGACAATTGGCCATATTTATGGCCTGCCTATATTGCGGCCCCTGGCAAAAGCCAGGGCGGGGCTTCAAATAACAAAAAATTTCATCCTAAAAAGGACGAAACTGGATTTCAAGGACAAGAAGATAGTCCACGACTCACATCCGTATGTTGCTACAGGGAAGACCATGGTCTCAAAATTCTAATTTTGATTTCCTTACTGGTGCTTAACGATTGACTTTTAATGCTGTTAAAAGTGGTGTTATTTTTACAGATGTGCTAAATGCAACATAAAATGTGACTAGACAGCGCAGCGAAGGGAATGGAAAAGAGGTACATAAATACAACAGGATGTCTGAACCAAAGTCTTTATCAACAAAGTGCTAAATACGACACAGACTGTGACTGGAAGACTCAATGAACAAGACAACAAAGCTTCTAAAACACAAAGTTCAACATAAAACCAAGAAGTACATAATGGGTTGAGTGAATATGAATAAAAAGGGCTACAATACGAAACGAACTAAATAAGAAGGCGTATGGAAAAAAAAGAGGCAGAAATATGAGCAAGTTACATTTTTTTTAAACACTATTTGATTAAAGATTTTATTTTTTCAACAGCTGTTTTACATATAGATCTCTCCATGGCTGAGAGAGCCAAAACCATTAATACTCTAAACTTTCTAATGACATTTTATGTTGTATTTAGTACTTTTTGTCATCAGCTCGACATCAGTCAGCCGTTACTAACGTCATCATTTTTGTAGACGTTTGGTGTTTTTTTTTCTTCTTGTCGTTCTTGTTGTCTTCTTATGCTTTTCTTTGTTCTCCTTGCTTTTGTTCCGTCTCCTTCTCCTCTTCATCTTTGTCTTAGAATAATAATAATAATATTATTATTAATTATTATTATTATTATTATTATTATTACTATTATTTTTGTTATTATATATATTCTTCCTTCAGAGGATTCATGAAACGGCTTATCATGACGTACAGATAGGCTGCAAAATCTTATCTTTTGGCCCAAAAGTCTAATTTCAAGATACCCTTAATCAGTAACCTTTCACAAAACGCTTGTATCCGTTCTTCTTTCTCTCTAAAAATAGGGCCTGGAATATGCGCACAAAAATTGTTAACTCTTTTTCACTTCTGATATATTCTGTTATTTCAGGTCCAAGGTATGGTGACACACACAAAGTCAATATAATCCAATCTGATTTATTTGATGGCCCATAAGAAATAGGGTAAGAAATACCAGCATCAGATAGAAAGTCGGAATAAAATCAGACCAGATCTGGATTGAATTGACAGACAAAGATGAGATGGTTCGGTCATCTAGTGAAAATGTAGCCAGACCAAACTGCATTTAAGACATTTTACAGCTGAACATCTGGGGTGAAGGCGAGAGGAAGACCAAGAAAGATGTGGATAAATATGTAGCCAAAACGTGCAAAAAGATGAACAAATCCATCATCTGAGTCGCCTCAAAAGCGCGACAAATATAGAAAACCACGACACTGGGTTGTAACCTGGTATGAGGGAGACGACAAAAGGAGGAGAAGAATGGCCCATAAAGACGTGAGACTTGACTTAATTGCCCCTAGTTTGAATTTACAGGAATCAGTCTCCTTCTACTGGTTACCGAGGAAAGTGTTGCACAAAGCACTTTAAATCAATGTTCTTCAAACTTTTTATATCCACCGAACGGCAAAACAGGGGACATCGTTTCGCAAGCCTCGACAGCTTAAATGTAGACAGTAGTCCGATGTCAAAAACATTACAACTTTCAGCTCATACAAAATCAGCTGCTGCTGCTTCTTTTCTCTACTCCTGGAATTCCTTGCGGCGTCAGGGCATAAAGAGGTCTATGGGACAGGCCCTTCTGTTCGCTTCGTAAATGTACTTTTTAGTGTCTGATATTTCGGCGATCCATATTCTTTTTAGCCAACTTCATTTATCGCTGTAATTGTATAATATGTCTCTCTGCGATGCCTTGTCTGATGCCAGTCTTGTTACATGGCCAAACCATTCGATTTGTTGTCTACCCATAAAGTTGAGTCTTGGTGTTGTGCCGACTCTCCTCGTTATATCATCGTTCCTAAGTCGATCTTTCCTCGTTAACCCTAGTCTAGTAAACATGTTATTTCTGTCGTGTCTACATTTCCTTCTGTCTTCTGAAGACGGCTGCAGCCGAGAGGTTAGAAAATCTATGTATTCGTTAGGTTTAGGCGACGGATCAACAGCACGGCACAAGACTAGTAACCCATAAGTGCTCCGTTCTACTTCTGACTCAAGCCTGAGTCCAAAAGAATCTCATAGCAGTGCACGAACTCCGTAGCACCGGCGAGGATCCTTTTTGGTATATTTTTAACCTCAAATTTTGCCCGGCAGCGCCGTTAGGGCTACTCTTTTCTGATTTCCCAACTGTCAAGGGATATTTTTTAGGCGTGCAACAATACACACGGGCGTCTGAATCTTACTATCCATAGATCTGGAGAAAATACTAGATGTCTACGTGAAAAAAATCACCAGCTTTCATCGGGGCCTGAACCAGGGATCTCCTTCATTGGAGGCGGACGACATGCCACGAGACCCTGCTTCCCCCTATGTATTTGTATGGTGCTGGAATCAAACATCCGCTGCATGATTAGGCAAACATATTTGGTAAGAACCAAGACATTTCTCGAGGACCATCGGTTGAAAAACGCCGCCTTAAACGACCTCAGTAGATCTCATAAATGCCTGCTCTTTCAGTCAAAGGATGGAGACATAAATCAAACAGCATTCCTCAGTGCACACAGCAGACGGTTTAATCACTTCGCCATGGGACCCCTAACACACACACACACCACACACACACCACACACCACACACACACCTCACACATTCACCACACACACACCACATACACCACACACATTCACCATACACATACCACACACACACCACACACACACCACACACACACACACCACACACAGCACACACACACCACACACACACACCTCACACACACACCTCACACACACTACACACACCACACACACCACACACACACCACACACACACACACACACACACACACACACACCACACACACACACCACACACACACACCTCACACATTCACCACACACACACCACACACACACCACACACACACACCACACACACACCTCACACATTCACCACACACACACCACACTCACACCACACACACACCACACACACACACCACACACACACCTCACACATTCACCACATACACACCTCACACATTCACGACACACACACACACATCCCACACACCACACACACACACGCCACACCACACACACATACACACACACACACACACCACACACACACACCACACACACACCAACAGAAGTAAATAGTAAAGATACAAATAAGGGGACAACGTCGAGGCTGCATGTAACTATTGCATTACTGCGGCAAAGGCAATACAAATGGCGAATATATTGAGGAACTCTACAGGGGATGAAAGAAGCAAGAAGAAGAATAGTTGGAAGACAGCTACCATGTAATTCGGTGATTTTTTTAACTTCAGTAGTCACAAACGACATTCTATATACCCTCTCTCTCTCTCTCTCTCTCTCTCTCTCTCTCTCTCTCTCTCTCTCTCTCTCTCTCTCTCTCTCTCTCTCTCTCTCTCTCTCTCTCCCCCCCCCCCCCCCAAACCACTAACAATTTATTTATAAAGATTTCCGCCATTTTTTTTTTTTCTGATACATTCAAAAATCAGCATCGGATCCTAGCATGGAGCTCAGATTCGAGGCTGGAAGTTCTTCCAACCAGACCACCAATATCATCTCATGTGACGAGCAGGACGCGATCTTCAACGAATGCTTCACCATCGCGTCTGCTACCATGGCGCTGAGTGCTCTGCTGTACGGGCACCTCAACTACAAGTACGGCATTCGTGCCCCAAGGATTCTGTCTGTGTAAGTGAAATATAATCTCTGTATATTCATTTCGGGAGTCACCGTGGTCAAGCGGCTAGACGCTCGCAGCGGATCGGAAGGTCTTGGGTTCGCTCCCTGGAGGAGCCGGACTTTTTTTAAAATGACTTATCTCCCAGGTTGACCCAGCCTTGAGTGGGTACCGGGTGCAGTCCCGGGAAGTAAAGGCGGCCGGCGTGATGCTGACCACATCACCCATCTTGTGCCGATTGGTCTATAAAAATATAGGTCTAGCCCTATCTGCCTTATATGCCAAATTGCGTGGAAAGGGTCTTTTACTTACTTTACTTACATTTCTTTCTTCAAGTTAAGGTCCTTTTACACGCCAGTTACGGATTGGGCTCATAAGGCAAGACTCATATTTTTCATAAACTCATGGTTGATGTGGGAGTCTCCGTGGTGTTGTCGGCTAGACGACCGCCTGCATATTGGAAGGTCGTGGATTCGCTCCCTGGTGAAGCCAGAATTTTTTTTTTTTTTTTTTTTTTTTTTTTTTTTGCAAAAATTACCTTGACTCCAAGGTCGACCCAGCCTTGAGTGGGTACCAGGCGCAGTCCTGGGAAGTAAAGATGGCGGGCATAAAGCTCACCACATCACCCATTAAGTGCCCATTGGTCTATACAAATATAGGTCTAGACCTATATACCCAGTTCGCCTAAAAGCGTGGAACAATGTCCTTTACTTTACATGGTTGATGTAGTCAACATCTCACCGAACGCCTTTACTTCCCAGGACTTCACGTGGTACCCATTTAAGGTTGGGTCGACGTGGAAGCCGAGGTCATATTTGAAGGAGAAAACAATCCGGCAACTCCTTTCTTTAGCTAGACAATAATTTTGGCACTCGCTTTTATCTATCTCTGCGTGAGCCACACATTTTCCCCATGTAGATTCCATCGCCAGATTGTTATGCGCAAAAGAATAAATTAACAGCCCCCTAATAGTCCTGTCGTAAGGGGCCTCCAATAAGCATGTCTTAAGGGGCGACTAATTATTTGTGTTTCCTTCGAGCTCAGATAGCATCGCATGAGAGGCAAAGAACCAAAAGTCTGCAAAAAAAAGGAGCAAGACCTCTAAAACGAACGCCACGCAAAACTCAGGTCTGGAGGAAGACATAAGTTCAGAAGGGGACGAATGATCCTGATTCTGTTTATTTCCCACCTCTTTTAGTGCAGTGATCTCCAACCTTTTCAGCCCCCCCCCCCCCCCCCCCCCTTTTGAGTATATTGGAAGACCAACCTTCCTCCCCACATCCCCTTTTACAAAACTAATTGTCGTTAAAAAGAAGGGGACAATAGATTCGGCAACAAGAGAAATAGACAGTTTGCAGATACGTTTCGGTTAGAATGCATTCTTAATCTATAATTACATTCGCGTGTTATCATAATCAACAGATTTTTAACAGTGGCTGTATAAAATGCTCATGAAATCAAATTCCTCCCCCCCCCCCCCCCCCAACTCCCTTTTCCCACGTTGGAGACCATTGTATTAGTGCATATGTGTCTGTTGGTCCGTTGATGTATAAATCCAGGTGAGGGAGGTGAAGTGCGACTGCGTTGTGAGCGCCGGGCTAGATCCCAGCTACATGCGATTTGGTAGCAGAGCGCGTTGCGCAGGTCTGGACAATGGTATCCACATCCGAACTTTCAGTGGCAATGGCAAACTACTCAACATAAATTTTCCTAGAAAATCCACAACAGCCGAAAATTATGGGATATGTTCTGAAATGTCATGTAAAGGACACGTAACTAACTTAACTGTGTCGTTTAATGTTTTTTAAACTCTTTCGGAACCCAGCAACTCACCATACGTTTCTTGATCCTTCCAAAGACAATAAAATGCATTTGCTGCCTTCTATCAGACATGAATTATATTAATCTATTATATCTGTATGACTAGTGTACCTACCTGTGTCCGGTAGTGACTGTTGAACTCCTTTCATCATCATCATTTAGCAAGTCCTTTGCAGAACGTCGCTCTCATCATTGACTGCCTGAAAGAAACTCGATCTCTCGCCAGCTATCCCGCCTAGTGTACTTTCATATTCACTTATATCCTGTACCTATCTTCGTGTTGGTGGGCTCCTGTTTCTCCTTCCTGTTACAGTGCTTTCTGCTATTATTTATCCAATCCGCCATGGCGCCTAATATGACCAAAATAATTCTGCTTCAGAGACAAGATGCAGTTTATTAGCCAACTACTTTAGACTTCAGTATTTAATGTTCGTAAGCTCAGCTTCTTGGAATACACGAAGTTGACGCATTGCTTGCAGTTAGGGGAAAAAAAAGGGGGGGGGGGAGAGAGATAGAATTAAGAATCCTGATTATACTTTATGTTTAATTTGCGTGGAAGTCCCTGTGGCGAAGCGGCTAGATGCTCGCCTCGAAGAGAAAGGTCGTGGGTTCGCTCCCTGGAGGAGCCGGACTTTTTTCAAAAACGACCTTGGCTCCCAGGTAGACCCAGCCTTGAGTGGGTACCGGGCGCAGTTCCGGGAAGTAGAGGCGGCCGGCGTGATGCTGACCGTCACCCATCTTGTAACGATGAGTCTAGAAAAATAAAGGTCTAGGCCTATATGCCCTATACTCCTAAAGGCGTGGAAACGGGTCCTTTACTGTTTACTATAATTCGTTTATCTTTTTTCAGGATTATATTTGTTGGCGGTGCCTGCTGCTTTGCCTTCATTGATAAAGGTCCGTGCTTTTTTTTTATTTTTTTTTATGAATCTTAATTTGTCAACATCATGGTACCTCTCTGGCAGTATTTCAACCCGAGCAGGGCCCACTCCTCTCAAGGTGGGCTTTTCTCCGTTAGCCTATATCCTCATGGATACAGTTTCCAGTCTGCACCACGAGGAGGTGGGGTTGTGTTGTGCAACCACGGGACAGCGGCAGGCTACTATTTTTCACTTGTCACCCTCCCAGGAGAGCTAGCTGCCCCCAACACCGCTGGCTGCAGGGTCAGGTATGACCACACCTTGCAGACCTGGCTGACTGGACAGGTCTCTGGCAGGCAACTATGAAGTCTATCGCAACTGACCACCAATGTGAAGAGAGCTGATCAGACAGTCAACAGACACTGGTGACCCAACGACACGTTAGGTTACGGCATGATAATGATGAACCTTAATTTCCTGTGGACTGTTATAGTGCTTTTAGTGGATAGACGCTAACCTGTCAGCTGGAAGGTTTTAGGGTTGAATCGGCATTGAGGACGATTTTTATCAGATGACTTTTGTTTCAGTCAGACTGTGGGAACACCACCATTCATCAAATTCATTGATCAACAGATAGGAAATGGTTTGGTCATCTCGTTAGAAGCCAAGATACCAACAAAGACGCTACAGACAAATACGAAATCAAGAGGTCTTCCTAGAAAATATGGACTGATGACATCAAAACCTTCTTCATCGATACAGAATGACAAAAGCTATTGCTACCCATCAAGCAATGGATCGTAAATTGTTCTTCCCCACGTCACTTACCTACGTCACAAGTAGACACTGGTGTTGATGATGATGATGATGATGATGATGATGGTGATGATGATGATGGTGATGATGATGATGGTGATGATGGTGATTATGATGATGATGGTGATGATGATGATGATGATGATGATGACGACGACGACCTTGGATCTCAGGTCGAAAGATTGTAAAATTGTGTTCAAGAGAATGTCTTGGGAAGTAAAGGCGGCCAGTGTAAGACTGACCTCTATCACTCAACGAGGGTTCACTGGGCTATAACAGTATGGTGTCAGCGCTGTATATTATGGAAACCGCCGTTGTGCAGCGATTAGACCAGGGGTTCTCAACCTTCCTAATGCCACGACCCTTTAATACAGTTCCTCGTGTTGTGGGAGCTCCACAACCATACAATTATTGTCGTCGCTACTTCAAAACTTTAGTGAATATATGTTTTCCGGTGGTCTTAGCGACCCCTGTGAAAGGTTCGTTCGACCCAAAAAAAAGGTCACGACGCACAGTTTAAAAACCACTTGATTAGACACTAGAGTGCGGATCCAAAGGTTTTCAGTTCAAATCCGAACGAGCCAGATTTTTTCTGTCATAAATGACCTTGGCTCCCAGGTCGACCCAGCCTTAAACTAGTAGCACGTAAAGTCTTTGAAGGTCAAACATAGGTTTGAGGTTTGAGGTTTGAACATCAGATCAATATCATGCACTCGGCTAGTAACCTATAAGTGCTCCGTTCTTCCTCTAACTCAAGTCTGAGTCAGAAGAAGCTCAGCACAGCGCACGGGCTCTATAGCACCGGCGAGGTTCCTGATATACTTTGAGTAGATTTTCAACTCCAGATATTTGCCTGGGCAGCGCCGTTAGGCTACTCTTTTCGATTTCCAACTGCCAAGAGATTTTTTACATTCGCAACAATGCACACGGGCGTCAGATCTCACTACCCAGAGACCAGGGGAACATCTACCATCTAAACGTCAAAAACGTCATCTAAATGCAAGGAAAAACATCTAAATCCGGATGTAAAACATCCAAAGTGGCAACACTGGTTATAATGTATCCGATCTCGGTCTTGAATGCGGCGCATTGTTGTTACTGTCTTCGAATGTAGACACCCAATGGCTAGTGTTCCCAAACGTAGACACCCAATGGTTAGTGTTCCCAAACGTAGACACCCAATGGCTAGTGTTCCCAAATGTAGATACCCAATGGCTAGTGTTACCAAATGTAGATACCCAATGGCTAGTGTTCCCAAACGTAGACACCCAATGGCTAGTGTTCCCAAATGTAGATACCCAATGGCTAGTGTTCTCAAACGTAGACACCCAATGGCTAGTGTTCCCAAACGTAGACACCCAATGGCTAGTGTTCCCAAACGTAGACACCTAATGGCTAGTGTTCCAAACGTAGACACACAATGGCTAGTGTTCCCAAACGTAGATACCCAATGGCTAGTGTTCCCAAACGTAGACACCCAATGGCTAGTGTTCCCAAATGTAGATACCCAATGCCTAGTGTTCCCAAATGTAGATACCCATTGGCTGGTGTACTCAAACGTAGACACCCAATGGCTAGTGTTCCCAAATGTAGACACCCAATGGCTAGTGTTCCCAAACGTAGACACCCAATGGCTAGTGTTCCCAAATGTAGATACCCAATGGCTAGTGTTACCAAATGTAGATACCCAATGGCTAGTGTTCCCAAACGTAGACACCCAATGGCTAGTGTTCCCAAATGTAGATACCCAATGGCTAGTGTTACCAAATGTAGATACCCAATGGCTAGTGTTCCCAAACGTAGACACTTAATGGCAAGTGTTCCAAAACGTAGACACCCAATGACTAGTGTTCCCATGTCTGCTGCTCATCAGCTCCGGTGAAATGGCTTTGTATATAACGAACAATTGGGTCAGATATTGCGGAATGAAAGAGCGGATTTTCTGGCTACAAAAGCAAAGAGAGAAGGAAAACAAGTGAGATAATCCGAAGAGCATATATAAACGACTTTTGGCAGAAACATGAGATTAGATGAAAAAACATGGACAAGAATGTGCGAACAAGGAATAAAATGTGGATCCGACAAGGAGGGACGAATGAGAGGAAGAGATCGGCGTGTGTACAATCAGTGTGCTGCGGGAACATTTAGTATCTTCACTTTACGTCACTTGCTGCGGGAGACAGAACATCTGTGCGTACGCTCAGTGTGCTATAATGTCGATTCTTAAGTCAGTAATCAGTTTATTACCTTGACTAACGACTTGGGAGTTGTCGATTCTTAAGTCAGTAATCAGTTTATTACCTTGACTAACGACTTGGGAGATGTCGATTCTTAAGTCAGTAATCAGTTTATTACCTTGACTAACGACTTAGGAGATGTCGATTCTTAAGTCAGTAATCAGTGTATTACCTTGACTAACGACTTGGGAGTTGTCGATTCTTAAGTCAGTAGTCAGTTT